CCTGAACCCAGGAGGCGGAGGTTGCGGTGAGCCGAGATCGCACCATTGCACTCCAGCCTGGGTAACAAGAGCGAAACTCTGTCTCAAAAAAAAAATAATAATAATAAAATAAATAAATAAATAAACATTTAAAGGGTATGAAATGTGCATAATACCAATCTCCCTTTCTCCTAGGAGAAATCATGTGGTCTCTTGCAGCAGTTAAGAGTTGCTGGCAAACTTCCTAGGTTTGAATCTAGGCTCCACGTAATAGCTCTGTGATCCTGAGTGAGTGCTTTTATTTTTACTTCTGTCAGCCACTGTTTCTTCTTCTGTAGCACGGAAATAATGATAATAATACCTTCCTCTTGAGGTGGTTGTGAGTAATAAGTACAATGATACTTGTCGAGCATTTGGTACAGTGCCGAACTCACAGTGTGCTCTCCTGATCTCAGCTATCATTATGATCATATAAAAAGGCCACTAAAAAGTTGTAATCCACAGGTTTTGAGGCAAATGTGTTGTTGTGTTTACTGCAGAATTTCACCATCTTAGTTATTTGATGTCCCTAAGGAGCACTGGGGAGAAAGTTTCAAAAACAACTCTATCCCTGTCCATGTTAGGAAAGACACACTCTTTGTTCACTGGGAGATAATGAAGTCACGTTCCTGGGTAGATGTAAGTAAGGTGCTTTCATCTCCCTCCTCCCCATAACCTCAGTGAGTGGAAATGTGAAAGTCAGGAGGCTTGGTTTACCTGATCTTTCAGGGAAAAGTAGCCCTCAGAACTTTGTGTTACAAAATGTTTGAGTTGGAGGAACCCTTATAGAGCTGGTATTCCAATCCTATTACTCTGTAGATAAGAAAAGCAAAGCCGACTGAGACACAGTGTCCTGGCACAGGCGGCATGGCTGAGACTGAGCTTCGCTCTGCCATTTCTAGTGCGTGGCTCTAGGCAACTCATGTCATCTCGTTGTGCCTCAGCTTCCTCTCTACCACATGAAGGCTATGATCTCTTCCTTATGAAGTTGTTTGGAGGAGCTCATAAAATAATGTATTTTATGTGAATAATGTATTTTATGTGAATAATGTAATGAATTATAAAACATTTTCTTCCAAAAAAAAAAAAAAACAAATTTCTGGCCGGGCGCGGTGGCTCACGCCTGTAATCCCAGCACTTTGGGAGGCCAAGGCAGGTGGATCACGAGGTCAAGAGATCGAGACCATCCTGGTCAACATGGTGAAACCCCGTCTCTACTAATAATACAAAAAATCAGTTGGGCATAGTGGCGCATGCCTGTAATCCCAGCTACTCAGGAGGCTGAGGCAGGAGAATTGGCTGAACCCAGGAGGCGGAGGTTGCGGTGAGCCGAGATCACGCCATTGCACTCCAGCCCGGGTAACAAGAGGAAACTCTGTCTCAAAAAAAAAAAAAAAAAATTTCACAAATATCAGAGCACAAAGGACAAAAGCCTTTTACAGATGGGCAAATTCTTTAGGGCACTGCTTGTTCCGAGCAGCTTTGTAAAGAATCTCGATCCCCAGGAGCTCTCAATCAGCGTTGCCAGTTAATGACAATGTTGATTCTTTGGGGCTTCTCCAGGAGGGTGAGAGTGACAAGGTCTTCATGGTGTTGTAGCTGTGTACTGGGTAATGTCTAGTAGGCAGGGGCTAGAAAAAAGTGTTTTTCTTTTAAGGGGGGCCATCATAGAGATAATATTGTAAAGAATTCCTTTATATATAAAACCTACTTAAAAATCCATATCTAGCCAGGTATGGTGATTCACACCTATAATCCCAAAGCCTGGGGTAGCTGAAGTGGGAGGATCTCTTGAGGCCAGGAGTTCAAGACCAGCCTGAGAAACATAAAAACTCCATCTCTACAAAAAAATAAACAAATTAACTGGGCATGATGGCATGTACCTGTAGTCCCAGTTGGGTGGCTGAGGTGGGAGGATCACTAAAGACCAGGAGTTGGAGACTGCAGTGAGCTGTGATCACACCATTGCACCCAAGTCTGGGTGACAGAGCCAGACCCTGTCTCTAAAAATAAAAATAAAAATCTGACTAGGCGGGGCACGATGGCTCATGCCTGTAATCCTAGCACTTTGGGAGGTCAAGGCGGGTAGATCACTTGAGGTAGGAGTTCAAGACCAGCCTGGCCAACATGGCAAAACCCAAGGTCTACTAAAAATACAAAAATTAGCCAGGCATGGTGGTGCATGCCTGTAATCCCAGCTACTCAGGAGGCTGAGGCAGGAGAATCACTTGGACCCAGGAGGCAGAGGTGGTAGTGAGCTGAGACTGCGCCACTGCACTCCAGCCTGGGCGACAGAGTGAGACTCCATCTCAAAAAACAACAACAACAACAAAAACAAAACAAAAAATCTGACTCAAGGGCTGCAGGAAAGAGGCAACATCAAGCACGTTCAGCGGGCAATGGGTATAGTTTGGTACAAACTGAGGCCAGCACTTGCTAAAGTTGGAGAGTGGGAGTCTGGTATGCCAGAGCTTGCCTCCCCTGCAATGTAAGTTTCTTTCTACAGTCCGCAGCCATCTCCTGATCATCTATACTTCTGCCATTCTGGCTCCCTGGCTTGTCTTGAACCTTATGCCCTCTTTATGATGTTAACAAATGTCCAGCAGGGGTCACTCTGATGTTCTCCTGGAGACAGCACAGGTCGGTGACTAAAACAGGGTAGCTTGGCTGGGTACGCAGGCAGGCTCAAATCCCAGCACTTTGGGAGGCTAAGGTGAGAGGATTCCTTGAGCCCAGGAGTTCAAGGCCTGTCTGACCGCATCTCTACAAAAAATTTTAAAAATTAAGCCGGGCACAGTGGCTCACGCCTGCAATCTCAACACTTTGGAAGGCCAAGGTGGACAGGTTACCTGAGGTCAGGAGTTCGAGACCAGCCTGGGCAACATGGCGAAACCCTGTCTCCACTAAAAATACAAAAATCAGCTGGGTGTGGTGGTGGGTGCCTGTAATCCCAGCTACTTGGGTGGCTGAGGCATGAGAATCGCTTGAACCCAGGAGGCAGAGGTTGCAGTGAGCCGAGGTCAAGCCACTGCACTCCAGCCTGGGGGATACAGCGAGACTCCGTGACTCTGTCTACAAAAAAAAAGAAGAAAAAAATTAAAGAATTAATTGGACATGGTGGCCCACACCTGTAGTCCTAGCTACATGGAAGGATTGCTGGAGCACAGGAGGCTGAGGCTGCAGTGAGCTGTGATCATACCACTGCACTCCAGACTGGGCTACAGAGTAAGACCCCATCTCTTAAAAACAGCAACAATAAAGAGTAAGGACGCTGGAGTCTGCCTGCTAGATCTGAATATCAGTTGTGCCAGTTACTAGCTGTGCATCATTGGACGGATTATTTAACTTCTCTGTGCCTCATCTGCCAAATGGGAATAACAATAGGACATACCTCATGAGATTGTTATGAAGATTAAATTAATTAGTATAATAGCAAAGGCCAGGCACGGTTGCTTATGCTTGTAATCCTAGCACTTTGGAGGCCGAGGTGGGCAGATCACCTGAGGTCAGGAGTTCAAGACCAGCC